GGGGGAAGGGTTGGGGGCGGGAAATGGGGCTGTGACCAGGCAGGGGTCAGAGGAGAGCCAGGCCCAGGACTGAGAGTGGGGCCTGCTGCACCTATGCCTTCCCCCTGAGCCCAGAGTTGTTGCTCAGTGCCAGTGGCCCCTGTAAATTTGTTGCTCCCAGCCCCGCACTGTCGGGCTGGAAAGGACGGAGCTGGCAGGACCCCTGTGCCCACCCCGCATCGTCCCTGGGAAGAGCCCAGCAGGTCCTCCTGAGGCGCAGCACTGGGCAGCCAAGGGGGACCCATGGCCCCCAAATCTTTGCATGGGGCACAGGCAGGTACAGCTGCAAGCTGCACTCTGCCTTCTCCATGCCTCACCGCTGCCTTTGAAAGTGGTACAGCACAGTGAACTAAAGCACCTCTGATGTGTTTTAGTTCATAAGTGTGCCACCACCATTTTGACAGTGCTGACATGCATTTTGCCACTTATACAACTACAAGCATCACAGTACCGGTCACTTTTCAAAGCACCTGGCACTGTGGCGCTTGCATGTGTAAAAAAGCCCTTACTGTGCCTATACGCGTGCTTGGGGTGGGGAGGTGATGTTTAATTACAGTAGTTCTTCGACAGTCTCTCTAATTAAAATGGCTCACTGTCATGCATATTAAGTCCCCTCGTGTTTTAAAATGGCCGTGGGGGCACTTTAATTAAAGTTCATTCAATGAGCTTTAGTTAAAGAGCCTCTGCGGCCATTTTAAAATGTTGGGGGGCGTAATACATGTGACAGTGAGGCGATGCTGGAGCATTCTAATTAGAACATGAACCAGCATGTCTATAGGCAGCCTTAGGGTAGTACAGCTTAGTGAAAAAGGCTGTTTCCTAGATAAGCCAGCTGAGTAGGACAACACATTATAACAATGTGGCAATGAAGATTTTACTTAAACCATTCAGAGAAAATGGATATTTTTGTCAATCATTTAGGAAACAAAGGCACAGCTTAAGTTTGCATGTGTCAAGATATCTTGCAATAAGAAGTTAGAGTAATTCTAAGCTCATTTTCTCTCCTTGGAAAGAGATTATTCAAAATAAAGTACCACATTTAAGTATCAAGCAATGTTTCTTTTCTTAAAGCAAGAATTTCTGGTATTCAGCATTCCAGTAAGACTGCTATATTGCTACATATTTATTAGAAGTGCCTGCAGACCGTGTCAGATACCTACCGTTTACAACAACTGAAGATAGACACGGGGTTCTCCTCTTCTAACCTGTACCTGCCAGAGTTTGGTAGATCTTTACACTGCGACATAAATGTGTGAAGTTCTGTCTCTGGAAAGCCATCTTGCTGGTAATGCTATAGAGATTCAGTCAGTTTTTTCTTAATTGCACTAACAGACAACAAATCAACTTTGTGGTTTATTTACTTTTACTCAAGTCAAAGACTTTGACTCAAAGTCTGTCCCCACCCAAATTTGGAGCACAGTTCTTTCAAGGAAGTGGTGGGACATTCTAAAATACAGTAGCCACTGTAGAGTAGTGAAAGTTAAATGTAGAATCTGGGATACAAAAATAGATTGGGAGTTTATGGTCTAGATTACAATACAGGCAACTCCCGCTTGACACTCTTTTGCTTAGTGCTATGTCACTATAATGCTATAATGCTCATTCCAAATCAGTACTCAATTTCACTTAGCACTCACCGAGTTTCATTATAATGCTCGTAGTCATCATTTTGGGTCATTAAAAACACCTGCAGTTGCCATCTTGGATTGTGAAATACTTTTGGTTTCACCTGGCACTCTTAATTGATTCCTGAAAAACCGAGCGTTAAGCGGGGGTTGCCTTTACATTGTTTCACCTGCCTCAGTAATTTTGCCATAAATCCTAAAATCCTGCTGAAAAGTTAATCAGAAGTTTGGACCAGATTCCTAGGATAGACAAAGTGACTTCTGCCATAAAATAACGCTCCTGAAAGCTGCATTATAGTTTAGGTGGAAAAGCTCAAGATGTGTTCATATTACAACTTCAACTGCCAGATGTATCATTATCTGCATGTAAGCAGGACTTCAAGTTAATCCGGTGCTAAGCACATTACTAGTATGTGTATAGGAATACATAGCAGACATTTTTATCTATCTGAAAAATAGTACAAGATACCTCGTTTCAGACGATAAACCCAGAATACC